ATTGGTCCTCTTCAAAAATGAAGGTTGAATGACAACAACCTTTCCACTATCTCAAATCTATTTCCTTTTTGAAGTTTCTTTTGTCTCTTGTATTTTCATTTCAAAGATTCTAGTGAATTCAAGTATATTCAAAATAATATACTAGGTACTTGTCTATTCAATTAAATTTTCCCTCCTTTCCCTTTCAAATCATATAAAATTTGGCAATTTGATCTATTTATGAATTAAATATTTTATATTTGCTTTTGGAATATTTTAGCAAGATATTCTACTTCTTTTGACACAGTTGGAAAATATTTCTATGTGATCCCTACAGTATTTCATTGTTACTTGAACTATTTTCTTTTTCTTTGAACTATAGACTCTGGATTTCAGGTATGATAATCCTGGTCAATTTTACTCTTTTTTTTTTAACATTTGTCTTGTTTTTAGATAATGACTCAGATATTATTATTGTTATTGCTATTGTTATTGTTGTTATTATTATTATTTACTGTTTCTCATTAGTGCCTACAATGTTCCCAGTGCTTAACAAATATTTCCTCCTTTGATATTTATAACAACTCGGGAAACTAGATGCTATTATTATATCCATTTTTGTAGATGAAGCAACTGAAGGAAAAAGTGGTTAAGTGACTTGCTTAATGTCACACAAATAATAAGTATCTAAGACCAAATCTGAACTCAAGTCTTCCTAATGCTAAGCTAAATGCTCTATGCCATGTAGTTGCCTATTGTGTTTCCATCTATTTTTTATTCTTCTAGTTACTTCTATTTCAGGATTCTGTGAAATATTGTCTCCAGCATTATTTTTATCATGGTTTTCTTGGAGTTTGTTTTTGCGATCTTTATTTTTTATTTCTGAAATCATTAAAATTTATAAAAATACATCCAAAAAACCTTATGAAAAGGCATATTTTTTGTACTTATTGAGGAATCTCCTAATCTTGTTGTTGTAGTTGTTCAGTCATTTCAGTAATTTCTGACTCTTCATGGCACCATTTGGGGTTTTCTTGGCAAAAATACTAGAATGGTTTGCCATTTCTTTTTCCAGCTCATTTTACAGATGAAGAAACTGAGACAAGTAGAATTAAATGATTTCCCCAAGGTCACTATTCTCACAAACACCACTTTTCTGTGCTTTGTACTATATTTGCACTAAATGAGAATTTTTCTTAATTATTTTTCCCTGTACCTATTGACACAATTGTGTAGTAGAATACACCTGATTTTTTTTATTAAATATGTTAAGAGACAATATGGTGTGGGTGATTGAAAGAATACTAGGAAGCTGACAAAAATTGGATTAAAATTCTTCCCCTGCCATGTATTGTTTATGTGACCCTAGACAAGGTGTTTTATATACAATGTCCTATTCGTTTCTCTTAAACTACAATTTGCAAGGAATATGCTGATGGGCACCAATGCAAAGAGTTTCCTCAATTAGAAATTCCCAATAACAAAGAAAATACTGTTCCAGTAACTATCACTAACCATTGGAATAATGTCAAAACATCCTCTCATCCCAATCATAAATCAAATTTCAGAATAGTGATATATCTACTCATAGACAAAACATACATACCCCCCTGTATGCACATATATGTATGTAAACACACATGTATGTCTAAATATACATGCAATCATATCTGCTGTATATGAACAACAAACAAGTATATGAATTAGTGTATTGATAAAATAAATGTGAACATATGATTTATTATACAAATTAATGAAGAACAAAAAATAAGCAAATCCAAAAATAAATTCACAAGTGAATAAATAAATTCAAATAAAGAAACTAAAAATAAAGAAATAATTGAGCAAAAATGAATGAATATGTGAATGAATGAATGAATGCATCAAATGATAAATAAAAACAGATAAGCAAACAATAAGTACACATTAAGTAAACAAAAACCAATGAACAGATGAATAAAGCTAATATATATAAATAAATGATTAAATAAGTAAAAAAAATAGATAATCAATATATATTGATTGGCTGAAGAAATTAAATGAATACATAAATTACTAATTTAATTAATTCCTTTAGAATAATAATCCCTAATCCACAATAATTAAGGAAAGGCAGCCACTTGATGTTTTAAGCTGTTTTGAAGAGTTTCACCTCTGGTAACAAAAAGGAAACCTTTTCACAGTTTTGAGATAGAGATAGTCCATGAAATTGGGAGTTGAATACGGTGAAGTCTCCACTAGAAAATAAATGACTTGGAAGCCCTGTATTAGACAACTGAATAATCTTGCTCATAAGTGTTCCCTACATTTGTTCAGCAATAGTATTCATTGTGTTCATCTTTCTCACAGATGATTTGTATATTTGTACGTGTGTGTGTGTGTGTGTGCATAACTTGGATTTATGGAGGCATGATATATAATTATTGCTCTTTTATAATCAATTAGAAAATCACATTGCTTTGAGCTCCTTTTGTCTACTGTGAATGGGGAACACACTGGAAGAGGCTAATGTCATATAGTAGGAGCTGCTGCATTTCCTGTCAGTGCAATATATGGAGACACAGTCTCAAAAACAGTTTAAAGATCATTGATCAAGGAATACTGAAGCTGAGAGGAGAGGAAATAGACATAAATATAATCAAACCCAGTCCCTCCATTTTTGAATGTCTATGTGTCAGTGTAATTGTGTGTGCACACATTTACGTATAGAATTTTGGACTTTGAATCAAAAAACTCCGAGTGCAAATTTCAAACCTTCCCAACTGCCTGCTCCACTTACAAGCTATGTTATACTGGACAAGTTATTTAACTACTTTTAGTAGCATTTTCTTAATCTGGAAAATGAAGCTCATGATAACACGTCCCTCGCAGCATTGTTATGAGCGCTGAGTGAAGTAGTACATGTAATCTGCTTTAGAATCCTTAATGGATTGCCTAAAACTTGGCTATTATTATCATATAAATGTAATGGAATTTTATTGTATAGAAAGAATGATGAATATATTCATAGAAACATGATAAGATTGGTATGGCAGAGTAATAAATTCCATAAATGGTGCAAAGCCGAAAATTATTACTAATACATTCAAGTATAGAGGCCAAGAAGAAATAGCTGATTTCCAATCCAAATAAAAAAATATTCAGGAGACATAAGGAAATTATCCTTTCTTTGAATAAATTGACTTTCTAAAGACAAGAGGAGGGAACCATGACAAGACAGGAGTATGAGAAATATCTGTACATTTTAATGGATTTCAAACTCATAATGATCCAGAAAAAGCTAATGTGATACTTTGCTATACTAGAGAAGGACTAGTTCTCAAAATGAGAGAAGTGATTATCTTACTGTTCTCGATATCGAACAAATACCATCTTTATAATTGCGCTCAGTTCTGGGCACATTTTAAGAATGAAATTGATATCTCTATTAACATCTGCACTGCTCACATTGACTTTCATATCCTTGGTGTCCAATGTATTTCTGCTGAGAATTGAGCTAACTTCCTCAAAATGCTTTAAAAATTGGAGATGTTATGTACTTCCCGTTTTTGCCACAGAAATATATATATGAATATTTGATATTAGTATTAAATATTATTTAAAAGCATTTCTTTTTTTTCTCCTGTAGAGTTTCTGATCCTTTCCTCAAATAAAATTTGTCATGTAGTCACTGCCTTTGTTAACTTGAGTGCTTGCCGTGAATTGTGGTTGTTGTTCAGTCATTTCAGTCATGTCTGATTCTTCATGACCCTGTTTGAGGTTTTCTTAGAAAAGATACTAAAGGGGGCAGCTAGGTGGCACAGCAGATAGAGCACCAGCCCTGAAGTCAGGAGGGCCTGAGTTCAAATCCGGTCTCAGACCAAACACTTGACACTTACTAGCTGTGTGACCCTGGGCAAGTCACTTAACCCTAATTGCCAAAAAAAAAAAAAAAAAGATACTGAAGTAGTTTTCCATTTCCTTCTATGGTTCATTTTGCAGATGAATAAACAGAGGCAAATAGGGTTAAGTGACACACCTCAGATCACACAAATATTAAGTATAGAAGGCTAGATGTGATTTCAGTTCTTCCAGATTCCTTGTACTCTCTCCATTGTACCACCTAGCTTCCTTGTAGTTAATACAAGTGAGATAGACTATAATTCATTTGGAGGGATAAATATAACTGATAGAGACACACATCAGATTTACAATCAACAGAGGGAGGGGTTGTTTGTTTTATTTTCTTTTTTCCCCAAAGTGAGTCAATTTGATACCAATATATTTGCACAAACCTTAAGCATCTAACTTCCTTCAAATGAACCCAAACCCCAGGGCCTTATTTAGGGAGTAGGTTGACAATCTATTTCCTCTTTTATTTCTAAAGAACATTATATACCACTTACTGGTATTTATAATTCAAGTCTGCCTAGAACTTTTATTCCATTGTATAAATTGCAACCTTTCTTAATATTCCTCCTCATTTGAAGGAAGACTTTTACCTACAAAGCTTTCACACTTAGATGAATCAGATTAATTCCATTTCATTTATTCAATCATACAAAAATAAGTAAACAAATAAAACTTACTATTTCTGCTTACAGAGTTACTGGAAAATATAAAACATTTGAAAAACACCCTTTATTGTTATGAGCTCAATTACATTTCTTTCCTGGAACCTTATGTAGGATTGAGATCTTACTCCTTTGCCTGCTCTATTAGACATTCAATTAGTTGAGGGTTTTTTCCTCCTTCTTTTCCCTGACTAGATTGTATCTCTAGGAGAGGAGGGACCTATTCCAATCTACAAATCTACATTTTATTTGTTTGATTTTTTTTTCCTTCTACAATTCACAGCCCAGTGGTTTGCACAGAACAAGGATTTAACAAAAATAGCCATGACTAGCAATACTCATGCCCATGGCAAGCACCATAACATATAGGAAATCTAGGCATCTGGATTAAAAAAAACAAACTTTGAAGTCACATTTCTGACAAATAATGTCTAAGTGGTCTTGAGGAATCATTCCTGGCTCTATGGTTTACAAGTGTTTGATCTGAGAAGTTGGTGGGTAGAGGCAGGGCTTTTTCATCCCTTGGAAAACCAGAGAACTGGAGACTTGAGGGTCACTGCTGATTAGAACAAAGGGGCTGAACATTGGGTAACACAGAGTCAAAAGTACAGAGACATGTGCCACCCACTGTTTTTTACCTTGAAAATTGTCCCTATAAATAACAAAGATGACACTGATTGAATAAAAGCACACAAAGATGCTCACCAATGACAAGATGACTTTGGTAGCTCTGGTCTCTGGAGAGGTTCTGGGTTTGAGTCTAGTGCCAAGAATATGCTGGACTTGCTGGTGATGTCTGTAGAGAGCAAGCACCATGTAGCCATTGGTAATGACCATGAAACTCACAAACACTCCATCATAAAGTGATTTCCAGATTACAAATTTTGAGATAGCCATGGCATACCTGTTTAAAGAGCAAAACTCCAGGTTCCTACTCTGTATGACATCAGTGTTGTTCTGAAAAGCAGTCACATGCAAAAACACAATCACCTCTAATTGCAAATGAAAGACCCAAATTAAGACACAGAATAAAATAAAGTACTTTGGGGTTCTGGATTTGAATTGTGTCTGTCTGGTATAGCTGGAACTGATGGTGATGGCCTGGAATACACTCAAGAGGCAGGTGTTACAAAGGGAAATGCCCCGGGATACTCTCTGTAGATAAATTATGATTTTACACCCAATGTCATCAAGGAAAATTTTCAGCTGCAACAACTGGGTTGTCCATGGGATTCCCCTGATGAGAATCACCAAGATATTAGAAAAGGACAAATTAATAAGAATCAGGTCAACGGCTCTTGTCTTGTGACCAGTGATTAAATTAAAAGTATACAAGTAAAGGAGCAAACCATTGCCTAAGACTCCAATTACAATCTCAATTAAATAGATAACATATAAGATATCACCATAAGAATACATTCCTTATTGGTCTTGAGAAGAAGAATGGGTGTCAGATCCACAGAGACCTGTGGAGAAAGGCAGAAGATTCTGTTATAAAACAAATTGTTCCCATCGGGCTTCTACATCCTTCCCATTTATCCGATAAACTTCAGTAAGTTTTTTTTTTTTTTAAGATGGAGCTATTATAAATGGAATTTTAGAAAATGTTTTGTCCCTGACAGCTTTTTGAGGTGGTAATGTCAGTTTTTTTTAATCTTTAGTTATTGTAAGATGTTTGTACTTATAAATAAGAACTATTTTATTCATTATATCTGAATCTTGTATGTCTACCTGAATGCTTAGTTTGCTCAGTGGTTGGAGTGTTGTGTCTGGAGTTAGCAAGACTTGAGTTGAAATCTAGGTGACCTTGAGCAAATTACTTAACCTCTTCAAACCTCAGTTTCCTCAGTTGTAAAATGGGTAAAACAATAGCACATAACTTCCAGGCTTGTGAGAATCAAATGAAATAATGATTTTTAAAGACCTGGTACAGTGGATTGCATATAGGATGTGTTTACTGAATGCCTGTTTCATTCTTCTATTAGAAATTTAGTAAATACTTGTTTATTGATTAATTATGTAGTTTTAGGCAGCTATTAACTATTGGATGAAGGGATCAAATTCAGAAGTGATTTCAAATCCAATGATTTTTCCACTATATTTTGAGTATTAATATTTGTTAATTTAAAAGATGTTCCTAATTTAGAAAAAAAATGAAAGATTGAAGACCCAGAGATTGCTTCAAACCAAGTCACAGGACTGAAGGAACATGTAATATTTAGCTTGGAGAATAGAACATTTTTGGTTAATTTACATAGGAAGTATGAGACAAAGTTCCTGCCTGAAGGTCATTCTACACATATTTGCAAAGGCAAGAATATTGTACTTGTAATAAGACTACAGAAATTGAGGATAGTAGTAGATGAATAGACTTGGAGAATTTCAGAAAAGAGAGTAGATGGTTAAGAGCTCATATGTAAGAGTGATTAGACTTGTACTGTTTTATTCCAAAATTCAAAACCAGAAGCATCGGTTAGAAGAGGAGAGGTGCAGATGTGGGCTGGATATAGAAACAATTCCAAAGGTTTTTCATGCAATGGAATATGCTTCTTTGGCTGATAGTAATTTATCCCTTACCTGAACTTTACAATTTAGGTTTTAGGATTAATCACGTGGAATATTATAGAGACAATTATCTTCCCAGTTTGGCTTGGACTAGAGATTTTTTTAATTTTGAGCACTTTTGATCTACTATTGAATTTCCATCCTACACTTTGTTCAGTCTGCTCAAAACAGTAGTATTAACTAGTTAATTAATAAAATCAAGTACTTTAAGGGGTCTTCAAGTCCAGAGGTGTCAATCTCATGTAGAAAGAAAGGCCATTAAACCACACATATGGACAGATTTAATATTGATTTAGCTTTAAAGTATATCACTTAGGTTAATTGCATTTTAATTTGATCTGTAAAATATTTCTCAACTAGATTTTAAACTGGTTTGGATCTTATGATTGTTATGGACCACATTTGGCCCAAGGACCATGTGTTTGACACCTCAGTTCAAGACCGTTCTTACCACAGACTAAGACTTCCCGTGTCCTTTTCTTCTAGTAAGTAGCTACAATGGAAGGATCAAATGATTGTAACCTGGGATGCTGTTATATTCATATTTGCCTTGGCCTACTGATCCTAGGTGAACAAACACATTTCAGCTTACACAGTGTTTATCACATCCATAACCATTCATAAATATTCATAACTTTGATGTGACAGGAAAAATACAGCTACTTTTAATTATAGACTGTTGTTACTGTTTTCCAGTATTTGGTGATACATCCAATAGCATGAAGATGGATCCAATGGGAAGTTTTTTGCCATAATGCAACTACTACTGACCTTGTCACACAGCTTCATCATTACCCAAGTCTTTTGGAATAGGACATTTGTTTGCCTCACAGAGTTCTATCTGGACTTTCTTGCTCCCCCATCTGACAACACAAATACTTTTTTCAGTTCACTACAAAGATCAATCCTGCATAACAGTTGTTTTTACAGGCTATCTAAAAGTAGCTTCAAAGGGAAAGGGATGCTAGTGTCTTTTTTGCTTTTTAGTGATCATAGCTCCATAATGGACCACAAAACAATGACTTTCTCTTTCTGTTTTTAATAAGAAAGCCTTCATGTTATTTAGCATTATTGTATTTAGCCTTAATGTTAGAGGAAATAGAACTCCTTGGAAGGTTTCCTTTAATAGAGGAGTGTAAAGATAGAATTTAGGCAAAATTAATCTTTTACAGATTTTATTTTTATTTATTTTATTTTTATGTTTATTTTTATGATGGAAGAATCCATGATGTTACTCAAAGACTTAGCTCCCTTCCATTCAAGGTTAATGAGTCAATAAACATAAGTTCCTCCTATTTACCAGGCACTACGCTAAGCACTAAAGATACAAAAAGAGACAAAGGTCATGCCTCCACTCAAAGAACTCACACTCTAATGGGGGTGACAACAAGCAAACAAACATACACTAATAATATCATCTTCATAAAATAAAAAGGGATTAAGTGTAGTTCACTTGAAATATGAGGGCCTAGGAAAAACTTCCAGTACAGAATGAGATTTTAGTTCGGTTCTTGAAAAAGGGCAGGGAATGGGGAAGCTAGGTGGCACAGTAGATAGAGCTCCAGCCTTGGAGTCAAGAGGACCTGAGTTCAAATCTGACCTCAGACACTTGATACTTACTAGCTGTGTGACCCTGAGCAAATTACTTAACCCCATTGCCTAGCAAAAAAGAAGCTTAAAAAAAGAAAGAAAGAAAAAAGGCAGGGAAGACAGTAGGTAGAGTTCAGGACAGAGCATTACAAACATGGGGGACGACCAGAAAAAGAAATACTCAGAGCCAAGAGAGGGAGTGTATTGGCTGTGGAGAAACAAAGAAGTCAGTATCACTGAAGCAAACAGTACCTGGTGGGGAGTAAGGTGTAAGAATATTGGAAAGGTAAAGCATGTTAGAGCTAGAAAGGATCTTAGAGATCATTTAGTGAATTAAATAAAGATAATTGATATTAAGGGGATAGGAACATAGAAACTTAATGAATATGTGCCTTATAAAAGTATTACACCTCCGATCTTTAAATTAAAAAAAATTAAAACAAAAAGAATATTGAAAAGATAGAAGGGGGCTAGGATTTGAGTGGTTTTGATTGCCAAATAGAAGATATTGTATTTGTTCATGAAGTTTATAGGGAGCCATAGGAGTTTATTTAAGGGGTGAAGGGTTTGATATTATCATACCTGCACTTTATGAAAATCACTTTGGTGGCCAAATGTAAGATAGAAGGGAATGGGGATAGATTTGAGGGTGGCAATCTCATTGGCAGGCTATTTCAATAGTCTAGACATAGGGTAAAAAACGCCTGCAACAGACTGGCAGAGTGGTAGAGGAGAGAAGATCTATTTGAGACAAGTTACAAAGGTAAACAATTGTACTGACCACATGTAGTTCCAGGTCACAATTCCAAGGTAAAGAGAAGCACTAGTACTTGTGCCTATAGGAGATCAGGGGCCCTGGTCACAGTTCCAAAGCAGAAGGGAGCACAAGCAACTGTGGCTGCAGGAGATTAAGGACCTTGATCTAAAGAATCCAACAATATGTTATTTAAACAGAAAGAAAAACACAGATTCAAAATAAGGGGATGGAATAGAATCTATTATGCTTCTGTTGAAGTTAAAATGACAGGGTTAGCAAGCAAAATTTTACACAGAGCAAAATGAAAAACTTAAAGAAGATAAGGAGGAAAAATAAATTTTGCTAAAAGGGATCATAGAAGCTGAATTAATATCAATACTAGATATATATGCTCCAAAAGGCAAAGCATTCGTGCTCTTATAGGTAAAGTTAAGGAGTTGCAAGAGGAAATAATAAAATTATAACTATGGGGGGAACCTCAATTTTTCCCTTTCAAAATTATATACAACTACTCAAAAATTAAATAAGAAAGACAATAAAGAGATGAATAAAATTTCAGAGAATTTAGATATGATAGATCTCTGAAGGAAATTGAATGGGAATAGAAAGGAGTATACCTTTTTCTCAGCTGTACATAACACATTCACAAAAAAAAACACTTATGATGAAAACTTGCTGGTGCAGCTAGGTGGTACAATAGATAGAGCACTGGCCCTGCAGTCAGGAAGACCCTGAGTTCAAATCTGGCCTCAGGCACTTGACACTTACTAGCTGAGTGACCCTGGTCAAATAACTTGACACCAATTGCCTCATAAAAAAGAAAAGAAAAATGTTATCCATCTCCAGAAAGAGAACCTATCTGAGTACATATTGAAACATTTTTATGCTCTACTTTTCTAGCTTTTTTTCCAACATAGCTAAGATGGAAATAGATTTTGCATGATTTCACATGTATAATTGATATATTTCTTGACTTCATATTAGGTGTGGGAAGGGTGGGAGGAAGAAGATAATTAGGAGCTCAAAATGTCAAAAAAATCAATGTTAAAAATAAATAATAAATAATTTTTTAAAGAGAAATAATTAAGGAGTGGAAAGTAGGGACAATAGGCATGAGGGAAGGTGGTTTAGAGCAAAAGATAATGAGTACCATTTGAGATATGGCAATTTTAAGACATCTAGCAGACATCCAGTTTGAAATGTCTGAAAGGTAATTGGGGATATGAGATTGGATGTATGCAGAGAGGTGGAGGTAAGATAGGTAAATTTCAGAACCCTTAGCATAGAGATGGTAAGTTAATCCATGGGAACTGATGAAATAACCAAATGAAGTAGCATAGAGAAGGAATAAAAGAGGGCCCAGTACAGAACCCTGGGTGATGCCTGTGGTTAGAGGGTATGATATGATTGAAGATCCAGAAAAAAAGACTGAAAAGGAGCAATCAAATAGATAAGATGAGATCCAAAGGATAATGGCATTCTAAAAACTGATAAATGAAAGATTATCTGGAAGGAAAGGATGATCAAAGTGTCCAGGGCTACAGAGTGAACAAGCAGAATGAGGACTGACAAATAGAATCGTCTGTCTCTATCCCTAGTTCCAAACATCAGCCTCAGAGAACAATGTGTTATTGTGCAAAGAACTTTGGATTTGGGGACATGACATAAATGGATTGAAACACTTCCTTTGCTGTCTGTTGATGGTGTGACCATGAATATGACACTTGACTGCTACAAAAGCTATTTCCTGATGCTGTTGCCTTTGAACAAATTTACTTCTGCTGACTTTCACTGATTGTCAGGACTTGGAGCTCTGGTCATTAACCTCATGAGCTGGTTACTCACTATTGCTGTCTTCTATACATTAATAGATTTCTAAGATGCCACTGTGAGCCTCCTGGCTAGGTATATGTCTCTCAGAAACTCCTCATATTCACTCAAATCTTATCTTAAACCTTTTCCCTCCCTAAGGATTTATGTTCTACCAGGCCAAGACTACTGAGTTCGACTAAGGGATAGGATCTCTCCTTGTAACTCTACTACTTGCCAAACATGGCTCAGTCTCATGTTCTCCTGGTTCCTTATCTGTAAAATGGGGACACACTAGAGAAGGAAATGACTAGTCATTTGGTAAAGTATCTTTGCTAAGAAAATTCCATAGGCAAATCCATGGGGTCATTAACTGCCAGACATTACTCAACAACAGAATGCATATATGTATATGCATGTATAATTATAATATAAATATTATATATAAGAGAAGAAGGAAAAGGAAAAGAAGGAGGAGGAGGAAGAGGAGAGGGAACCTTAATAAAAGTTTGTGGAAAGGAAATTTCTTACAGAGTAGTGAATTATTAAGTGTTAACAGTACAATAATGCATCTAATAAATCATAATCATCTAATTGATTTTATTTTATATCAAATAATATGTATTAACTTGGGTATATCAGAGCCAGTAGATAAATAAGAGATTACATAATTCTAATAATAAATATGGAACTATCAAAATATATCCTTTTATTGCCTTAGAATCTGAGATGAGAATGGGTAAGGAAAATTAAAGGTAAGTGGAGAGGAGACTTATCATTCCGTCTAGTCTACAACTCGGGATAGTTACCATTCAAATCTCCTCTGCACACAATAGGCTTATTGACATAAAGGAAATATACATCATTTCTATCATATCTATTTCTAAGTTTAATCTTGTCCCTCAAACACATGTGACCATAAACTTACACCCAGCTCCAGCTCTTTAAAAGCTGATAGATAGATAGATAGATAGATAGATAGATGATAGATAGATAGATAGATAGATAGATAGATAGATAGATGGATAGATGAATAGATAGATAGATAGATGGATAGATAGATAGATAGATAGATGGATGGATAGATAGATAGATAGATAGATAGATAGATAGATAGATAGATAGATAGATAGATAGATAGATAGATAGATAGATAGATAGATAGATAGATAGATAGATAGATAGATAGATAGATAGAT